CACAATGAGTACAGTCGACGATCAGAACCTCGTTCATGCCTTCTGGCAGCTGCGAGTGCAACCCGACGACTGCTGAAGTACGAAACGAAGGTTACAACAGCCCCAGTCAGGAACAGAGTCAAAAACCGTTTAAAAGTGAGGAGAGAGAATCAGCGATGCCATTATAACGCATTAAATATGGTTATACCAAACCTATAGCGGAAGTTTAGGACATATCACTCATGGGAAACGAGTAGGGGCTAGCTGGTGACGCTGCAAGGTTATGAACTGATATAACTGATCTCTCCTTGACGAAGCGGCAAGGCTAACTAATCCAGTAATTCTGAATCTTTACAGGTGCAAGCTACTCTACACAAGTGCCGACTGCACGACTAGCGCTGAGGCTGATGTTGGTGGTCTGGTAGAATCCAACGTGGCTGAGAGAATCAATGAATGGAAGCTTGTCAGCTGAAGAATGGCACTCCTACGACTGAATTTACAATGGGCTAAAGCTTTGACATGGTCACAGGTCCATGCGTCCGATTTGAAGGGAGTGTGTGACTCTTTCCTGGAACAAGAAGAAGATGGCCTGCTCGAAGTGCAGACTAACGAGTCCCTAATTGTAATGGGCAACTTCAATGTGCATGTCGAAGCATTCACTGAAAAGGCTAAACGCGTGATTGGATACATAACGCATAATGACCATAACAGTGCCGAGATAGCGTGGTTTACCGACTCGTGCAAGTAACGTATTATCAGTTATGAGCACCTTCTTCGAGCAAAGAAGCATGCATCAATATACCTGGTATAGAAAGCTTATGCACAGAAGTCGATGATCAATTTGACAACCGTATGGCCTGGCTTACGGCGTTCTGTAATGGACGTTCGTGTCAAGATAGGCGTACAGCTGTCAACCAATCGTCACCGTAATGCTGGCATCCTCCGTTTGAAACGACTGAGTGCCACTAGGAGACTCTGGTGCGAGGTCATCAAAGCGTCAAGTCGAAAATGTTATGTTCTGCAGAAACGAGGGAGAAACTTGCTAATAACATCGCACAATGGTTTCGACAAATCCCTGTGACGACGATGGGCGTGGAAATCGATTTG